TATATCAGCATTAGAAAAAAACTTTCAGCATAAGAGGTAAGAGTTGTTGGTAAACATTTTTTTGTTTTGTTTGAAGTATTCCTGTGGAAATGGAATTTTGATAATAGTTTTCACTCCAAGAAGTGTTACCTATTTAGGTATAGGAATAATTGGTAATGCTAGAAATCTTAAGCAAATACCATAATTTTATCAGTGGGTGAATAAAAGCTTAACTTAGTCAAATCTAGAATCATCAATAAAATTCAGACCTAAAGTGGAACCTAAATACTAGAAATTATTTTTATACTAACTATAATTATGTCACTTTTTGAATTCTAGCTTATTAAATACTCTATATTACATTTGTTTCACCTTTACATTAGGTTGAGGATCCTTTCTCTCTTTCTTTTGCTTTGCACAAAATGGCTATTAAGCCCCAATATTCTTCCTCCTCAAAATTTTGGCTATCATCAGTCCTCAATTAGGAAGTTTTAGGACTAGTTTTAAAACTTTATTTTATAGATTCACAGGACTTTGTACCAGAAGTCTCTGGTACACTTCACCTGGTTTTCCTCAGAAGGTATTTTTATCTATTTTTTTAAAAGATTTTAAAAATTTATTTATTTGACAGAGCGATCACAAGTAGGAAGAGAGCAGGCTCCCCGTTGAGCAGGGAGATAGGGGGAAGCAGGCTCCCCATTGAGCAGGGAGCCCGATGTGGGGCTTGATCCCAGGACCCTGAGATCATGACCTGAGCAGAAGGCAGAGGCTCAACCCACTGAGCCACCCAGGCGCCCATATTTATTTTTTATTTTTTAAGGGTTTTTAAAAAAATTGATTCATTGTTTTGTTTTTTAAATTTTGAGAGAGAGCTCACTGAGAAGCCGAGTTGGGGTGGGGAGGAGCAGAGGCAGAGGGAGAGAGAATCTCAAGCAAACTCCTGTTGAGTGGGGAGACCAACATGGGCTCAGTCCCACAACCATGAGATAACGACCTGAGCTGAAACCCTAGAGTCTGATGCTTAACAGACAGCTACCCAGGCTCCCCAAAAGATTTTATTTTTACGAAAACTTTTTACCCATTATGGGGCTCAAGCTCACAATGCGGAGATCAAGTCACATCCTCCACTGCCTGAGCCAGCCAGGTTCCCCAGACATTATTTTTAATTAAGTCATAATACCTGAATATTTTTCCTGTAGAATTTTTGGATAGTAGTTAAAGAATACTGAAAATAGGTAAGGGTTAGGATGAGTCACTGATAATAAATACCTTCGTGTTGCATGTAGAAGGGGTGGAGCAAAGAGGACAGATGCTATTGCATCTTACTGCTCAAGTCTTAAAGAATTTATGAAAAGTTCTTCTCATAAAGCTCAAGCAAGGGAGGACTAGTTAGCCTTTCACCTCTGGAATGATTGAAATCCTCCTCTGCTGAGGTCGCCCTTCGGTGAGCATTCACATGAGACATAAATACCTTCACCTTAGGAAAACCTAAAGCAAAAATGCTTGCTAAAAATTTAAGTCTGCATTCCGACCAGGGGAGGGTCTTATGATTCAGTCTTGGGGCAGGCCTTAGGAATCTTCATTTTCAAACACCATGGAGTGTTGCAGATTTTTAGAGGACACACTTGAGAAATTAGATTTTGAGATTTTTTTTTTAAGAGAACATAGGTTTTGTTTATTTTTTATATGTAGGCTTCATGCCCAGTGTGGGGCTTGAACTCACCATTCTGAGATCCAGTCACATGCTCTACTGACTGGATTAGCCAGGTGCCCGGAGAGGGTGTAGTTTTGTTGCTACTTTATATTCTTATTAAGGTTACAGTTTCATAAATTAATGGTTTGCAAAATTTTGAGCATAGTTACAAATGTATTTTATAGATGGATGTGTATATACATGCATATATGAAACAGTTTCATTGCAGTTACATATAAATAGATTCTGATTTTTTTTTAAGATTTTATTTATTTATTTATCTGACAGATCACAAGTAGGCAGAGAGGCAGGCAGAGAGAGAGGAGGAAGCAGGCCCCCCCGCTGAGCAGAGAGCCTGATGCGGGGCTCGATCCCAGGACCCTGAGATAATGACCTGAGCTGATGGCAGGGGCTTAACCCACTGAGCCACCCAGGAGCCCCTAGATTCTGATTTTTAACTTTTAAATCATAGTTGTGAACCTGGAAATTGATTTCACAGAACATCTCACCATTAGTTTGAAAACACCATCATAATACTCAGTGTTGTCCATGTTAGGAAGACAGCATGATTACTAAGATGGAGTAGTACATTAATATCCCTTTTCTTCTTAAGGTGATTTAATCTTTCCATTCCTCTGAGAAAGTTTTATTATTAATATTTTAGAAAAGTAGAAAAATATTTTTCTACTTTTGCCATATATCTACCACCCACAGTTACTAGCTTGGCTACCCCCCCACCCCCTTTTTGGTGTCTTATTAGGACACAATAAATTGCCTTCCTGTGTTACTTAAAAATGTTTAATGTTTGTATTTTATATGCTTTAGAGGGAAAGGCAAGGAACAAACCCCAGAAGTGAAATTAATGTTTTTATTAAACTCCTGAGGGAGAGCATAATAGATTCCACAGCTTATTTGGTATAAAGTTCTAAAATAATTGGCTAGCTCATCCTCTTTTTGAGGCTATTAATTAAGATAGAGAAATGATACTGAAGTCTAACAAATAAGTTTAACATAGGATCAAATGGGGCTCATAGGTGGCTCAGTTGGTTAAGCTTCTGCTTTTGGCTCAGGTCATGATCCAGGGTCCTGCGATCAAGAGGCCCCACCCCCCTAGCAGGGAGCCTCTCTCTCACCTTGCCTCTCTGCCTACTTCTGCAAGCTTGCTCACTCTATTAAACAAAATCTTTTTAAAAAATTTACAAAAAAGTAAGATTAGATTAATTAAATGAAGTAAATTTTAGTCAAGAAAATGGCTGGCATTTTCCTGTTAACCCTTACCTGAATCCTTTAAGGTAGGAAAAAGTAGCGTTAGCCCATTTTATGCATATAAAAACTGCATCTAGAGACATTTAGTAACACCATGGATACAAAGTTGGTAAGAACAGGTGTGAAACTTTACCTCCGACATTAGGGGGATTATAGTTTTAGTTACGCCTAATGCCTAATAAGAGGATGGGCATTTTGTATTCAGCTGTGAATAAATTTTTCAAAATTTTTTATTTTTTTATTTTGCCCCATGTGAAAGTGCAGTGAGGCAAAATAATAGCTTCTTAAGAGTTAGAAATTTGATTGCTAGTATCAGTAGTGGTCTCACCTCAGATAAGTTATGTTGTTTGATGGACCTGTATGTGAAAATCCAAAAATCTCACCTCTCTTGTTCATACGAGAAAAGGCTAAATGCTCAAATTACCCTGCAGGTAAATAGGAAGCAAACATTTAAGTACCAGACCTATGCTAGAATAGAAAGCCACTTTGCAGATCTGATGTAGAGAAGAGGGTATCCTTTGTGGACTAGCCCATATTCAAGTCTGTCCCACCCTAGGTAAAAGTTTTTCTCTTCCTTTGTGGCTTATATGTATTTTCTTACAAGCTGTTGGTTTGTGGTCACCAAACTAACAGATGACTTCAGAGAAAGAATAAACATAGATATGAGAAACAGAACTGGTGGTGTTGGCTCTTACTACATCCCCGTCTGAGTTTAGGTGTGTTTATAGCCTTAAAACTTAATGTAAAGATTTCTTCCCAACAAAGATATGCTGAACCTTTTGGGGGACATAAGGACATATGCCAGAGAATGACAACCTAAGACTCATTTATTAGAAAAAGACGTGCAAGAACATTGCATCTTAGGAGTTCTGACCACCTGAAGCCAATCCTTGCTGCCTTAAAGGATTGAGAAATAAAATTGTGTTCACTGCTCTTCAGACAGCATCAGATAGTGCTTAAAGTTAACATGCACATGATGAAATTATTTGGTAGTGTGATTTTATTTTAATGTGAAGGAATCAGTGTAGCATTTTAGCTTTACGATGGTTAGCCCGGGAGGATTAAATCACAGTGATTTCTAACCTTGACAAACAAGGTTAAGTTGACCCTTATTTTATTGGAAACTGAGAATTGTGAAGGTTTGTCTTCCATATTCGTGCTTTGCAAACTGGGTCTGGACCAGTTTTAAAATCCATGTATTGAGTCTGGCTAGCATAAAAATAAATGAAATAGTAGTAGGGAAAAAATATCATATATCACATAATGTTAAACATTTAGTGAAACTTCGGCTTAAGTCTGTGTGTATATGTATATATGCGTGCTTGTATACATACATAAATATTACTTGATTACAATATGAAAATATTTCTTAATGTGTGATACATTTTTTAAAAAGTTAGCCACAGCTCTGTACCTGTCTGCTCATGTGGTAATTTGGGCATCTGAATTTTTCACATTTTTGTGGTTTTGCGGGGAAGGAGGTAGATGAAAGGCTTAAAGAGTTAGGGAGCAGCTGGTAGCTGGTCTTTGGATCCTTAGTGATTAAGTGAAGTTGAGATGGGATTTTATTGATTCAGTGTTTTTGGGTAGTTAAGGCTAAATTTGTTTTGTGAAGCTTTTGAAAGCTCTTAGAACCAGAGGGAGTTATGTATGTTGTATATTTATAGTTATATTTACTGGACTTGTCCAAAGTCCAGCAAATGTAGTATCAAATGATATAAAGTGTTAAACTGTCTGATAGAACGCCTTTTGATCTAAGACTGAAAGGTCCGTTTTAAATAATATCAGCTCTTCTGGCGCTGCTTAGAATGGTCATTTGATTTCATACTTAAATGTGTAATCTGTTTATACCTAAAATGTAGGACCAATAAGAAATGAGGGGCTTTTGGATTTTGGTGGGGAGGTGGTCAGTAGGTTTTTATTTTTATGTTTTTATTCTTTAGTATGAAATAAGATTTTGGGAAAGGTCATATGTACAAACACTGAGTATTGTTTCTATTTAAGAAATTAAATCATAGACCTTGAGTTAATGGCTTCTTTTTTTCTTTGATTTCTTTCCAAGGTTTGGGCCCCATGGGATCCCTGTGACAGTGTTTCCCAAAAGGGAATATAAGGAGAAACCTGAAGCCATGCAGCTCCAAAGTAATACATTCCAAGAAGGGACAGAAGTTAAGCGTGAAGTGAATGGTGCTGTTCCCGATGACCCTTCTCCCATCTCGCCTCCCGAGCCAGGCTTGGCTGAAAGCCTGTGGACTTCCAAACCACCGCCTCTCTTCCATGAAGGAGCACCTTACCCTCCCCCTTTGTTTATCAGGGACACCTATAACCAGTCAATACCTCAGCCACCGCCTCGGAAAATTAAGCGACCCAAACGAAAAATGTACAGGGAAGAACCTACTTCAATAATGAATGCTATTAAACTGCGACCCAGGCAAGTCCTGTGTGACAAGTGTAAAACCAGTGTTGTTGCAGAGAAAAAGGAAATTAGAAAAGGTAGTAGTGCAAGTGACTCTTCTAAATATGAAGATAAAAAACGGAGAAATGAAAGTGTAACTACTGTGAACAAAAAACTGAAAACTGACCATAAAGTGGATGGGAAAAACCAAAATGAAAGCCAGAAAAGAAATGCTGTGGTGAAGGTTTCCAATATTGCTCACAGCAGAGGCAGAGTAGTCAAAGTTTCTGCTCAGGCAAATACATCAAAAGCTCAGTTAAGTACTAAAAAAGTGCTCCAGAGTAAGAACATGGATCATGCAAAAGCTCGGGAAGTGTTGAAAATTGCCAAAGAAAAGGCACAAAAGAAGCAAAGTGAAACCTCTGCATCCAAAAATGCACATTCAAAAGTCCATTTCACACGTCGCTATCAGAGTCCTAGCTCAGGTTCCCTTCCACCCCGGGTTCGTTTAAAACCACAAAGGTACAGGAATGAAGAAAATGACTCTTCTTTGAAGACGGGACTTGAGAAAATGCGGAGTGGCAAGATGGCACCCAAGCCCCAGTCTCGCTGCACCTCTACCCGCTCAGCAGGTGAGGCCCCTTCAGAAAATCAGAGTCCCTCAAAAGGCCCTGAAGAGGCCAGCAGTGAGGTTCAGGACACAAATGAAGTGCTTGTGCCTGGTGAGCAGGATGAACCACAGACACTGGGCAAAAAGGGCAGCAAAAGCAATCTCTCTGTTTACATGACCCTAAATCAAAAGAAATCTGACTCTTCCAGTGCTTCCGTGTGTAGCATTGATAGCACAGATGATTTGAAATCCTCCAACTCTGAGTGTAGTTCTTCTGAAAGCTTTGATTTTCCTCCAGGCAGTATGCATGCACCTTCCACCTCCTCCACTTCCTCCTCTTCAAAGGAAGAGAAAAAGCTCAGTAATTCCTTGAAAATGAAAGTCTTTTCCAAAAACGTCTCTAAATGCGTCACACCAGATGGCAGGACCATATGTGTAGGGGACATTGTTTGGGCCAAGATCTATGGCTTCCCTTGGTGGCCAGCCCGTATTCTTACTATAACTGTGAGCCGGAAAGATAACGGCCTTTTAGTCCGACAGGAGGCCCGTATTTCATGGTTTGGGTCTCCAACAACCTCTTTTCTTGCTCTTTCGCAACTCTCCCCCTTTTTAGAAAACTTCCAGTCACGCTTTAATAAGAAGAGAAAGGGCCTGTATCGCAAGGCTATCACAGAGGCGGCTAAGGCTGCCAAGCAGCTGACCCCTGAAGTGCGGGCTCTGTTGACACAGTTTGAAACGTGAACATGGACAGTAAGGTAGGCAAGAACCATTGGAAGGCGCCACAGATTTTCTAGTCTAGTCAGGAGTAACTTCTACGAAATAGCTTGGCCTGATCGGAGAGAGGAATTGTACTCAGTTGGCTGCTTTTTTTTATACTTACCTTAATAGCCATTTTTAATAGACTGAGAAGCTTAAAGAACAAGCAGTCAAATTTTGTCTTAAGGAAGTGAGATTTTAGCAGTATTTTTCAGTTTTGAAGTCAAACCATCCCAAGGCATAGGAGCCATAGCCTCAACTGAAAATGAATTTTTGCAGGGACTGTTAATGGCCATTTGTACCTAGTACTGTGTGTATGTGTGTATATTTATATATATGCACATGTACGTATATGTGTGTATATGCATACATATATATGACATAGAGCCGGTCACTGTGTGACACAGGTTGCGTTTTTGGGATTGCAGTAAGGGCTGATGAGCTGGTTTGGGGGCTGGGGGCGGGGAATAGTGTGGCTATTTAATGACTACTTGTTTTTTAATTAATGAATACTTAGCCTTTCTATGTGCACAATGGCGCCGGAGTTTGATAGCTAGGTGTTTGACAAACTGAGTTGCTTGCTATTCAGTTGCCGACTGTGGAAATAGCCCAGTCTTTGGGGTTAAGACTTTTAAGGCTGACAAGGTTTGAATCATCACTCTTTTGTTTAATGGGGATTTAACAAAAACTTTCAAATTTCTGGTTTGGGAGTTTAGGTAGGTTTGTCTTTGGATATGTAAATAGTTGATTGCTAAATTTGGTCAGATTTCTCCTGACTGGCTGTTCCTAAATTCTTAGGATACGTCCTGGTAAATTACACTTTGTGAATTGTCATATGTGTAATTGTTGCATTTTGGATGTACCTAATTTGATAATTTTAAAAAAATACTTCGTTTAAGGTATCTGTTTGCAGGTCAGAAAATGAGAAAATGTAATTGTGTAATGCTTTGAAATGTAAAAAAAAAAGCTGTAAATAAAATCGACTAAATCCAAATTATTTGTGTGTGTTTCTCAAAAAGCTTTGAAAAATTTCAAGATGGTAGAAAGTTACTCTTTGTAATAGTTTATAGAGATGAAAAAAATCAAACCTTTATTTTCCTATTTGTCTTATCAGAGAATATATTACCTGACCATAGATAAAATTCAAGTAAGTGATTAACCCATATATTCTGAAAATGAGGTTTTACAGTGTAGAGGTCTGATATGCTTCTAGATTTGAGACCATCCTCCCGCCAATTTCTCATAAATGTGTGGGTTTAATTTTCCTCATGTTTAGCCTTGATACTTCATCACATGGCTCTTTTTTTTATATTTGGGTAGTTAAAACCAGTCTCTCTTGCCTGGCCTCAGGTATCCTTGCTTTTGGGGCTAGTAACTTATATCACTTTTTCTACATGGTCCATCTGTCCCTCAGATTTGACTTATTTCCATTTTTAGCTTTTTACTGTTAGGGAAAAATATATCTGATTGCCCGTGGAGGCAAGTTTATCCCAAGATTTTTCAAGTTGTTTTCATATTTTTTTGTGTTTACCTTTTGAATTTTGATAGAATATCAGTTTGACACTTTGGAAACTTGAAAATTTTAAAGAGAGCAACTTTCTGTGTAATTCTAAGTAATCCAATTTGAAATGTCTTAGTTACCTATGGAATTAAATGATGAACAGATTAATGGAGATTAAAACCCATAATCTGTCTGCTTCCTTAAAGTTAACAGGCTTTTATGATTTATGTACAGATTTCTGCAAAAGCAAGTAGAATTTCTTCTGGGGAACTCAGTCAATGCTTTTTGATTATAACTAAACACACAATTGAAAAAAAACAATGTCTTTCACTTGAGTAGAACATATTCTTTCCTGCAAACAGAAACAACTATACTATTTTTAAAATTCTTTGATTATAACAGGTTGAAAGATGTTCATGGTGTGACTGAGGGGTTTTAAGGAAGTATCTTGAAAGGTTGAGTATTTTTTCAGATTAATGAACTTGTTCAGATATTTCTGAGTTTGAAATCTAAGGTTTAGAAAGATTTTAAGCAAGGCGGAGCAGAAAGTCACTTAAAATAATGTAATTCCAAGGCTTCATGTAACGATCCAGGTGAGTTTTATTTTAACATAGTGGGTTTCACAGTGGATATCGCTAATAAGTAAGTGCTTTGGCAAATGCGCTCTGGTGGCATAAACCAAATTTCATTTGTTTTGGAAGCCCTGGTTGGGGTGGGGATAAAGTCATGATTGTTGACTACAAAAATAACATTCAGTTTTATATAGTCCATATCACTAAGGGAAAGGTTGAAGCATAATCATAAATGTGCATGATCTCTAATTAAATCAGCCAAATGATCCCTCCATTTTAAACTGTCTGGCATATTTCATCTGATGTTTCACTAAGGAAAAGTTTCAAAGAATTTCTTAATCTTAAAATCTACATATTCTAAACACTAATCCAATAGCCGCATATTAGTGTTTTATTAAAATGGAAATTAAAAAAAATTTGAGTATAGTTGACACATGATATTACATTAATTTCAGATATGCTACATAGTGATCAAACTTCTCTACATAATAATGCCAAATAGAAATTTCTTAAGCAGCTAAATTTATCCAGTATTTACTGCAGATGGAGGAGATAGAGTTGAATTGGCTAGTTGTAGCTATTTTCCTTTAAAGTGGTGAAAGGAGGCATTTATTCTTTGGTGATAACCAAATATGTTTTTACCCTTTTGCAGAGAGAAAACTAGGTTTAGGCCAAATATCCAGTGATCTAAAAGGAAAAAAAAAAAAAAAAAAAAGGATTAGCAAGGGGAGCAAACAAATGAAAGTAAGAGCTGTAACAGCCAGAGAGGTCTTTATTTCTAGAATTGCTTAGAAACTTAAAGCATCAGTATTTTTCTCTTAGTTTCCCAGAATCTTTTGAATAGAATGCTGACTGTTCATTTGAAAGGGATATCTTTGACTCATTTTAGATGTGGAACTAGACATAAAAGAGGTCAGTGAGATGGAGAAAGTAAAATTCATAGTCTGGAGCCCATTTGCATGACTTGATATATCCTATGTGGTTTTGATGGGAAATTGTATAAACAGTAATTTTAAATTAGTACTAAGTAGAATAGACAAGAATGTAGATATGAAGACAGACTTCAGGCAGTATGAAAGTGCAACTAAAATCAAATGTATATCTTAGGGCCTCTGAGTGTTTAATAGAAAATACTGACTTGCACCTTTGTTTTGAGCAGGTTGTACTTAATATTGGTTATGTTGAAGGAAAGATACACATTTGCATTCCTTCACCTACATACAGGATTCCTTTACATAGAATTGATGACTTGGGTATTGGAAATACAGGCATACCTCAGAGATCTCGTGGGTTTGGTTCCAGACCACCACAGTAAAGGGAGTCCTGAATGTTTTGGTTTCCCAGTGCATGTAAAAGTTATATTGCAGTCTCTGTGCAGTAGCATTGGGTCAAAAATGATATATATATACCTTATTTAAAAAAAAAAAAACTTCACTGCTAAAAAATGCTAACCATCTGAGTTTTCAGTGGGTGGTAATCTTTTCCTGGTATGGAGAGTCTCGTCTTGATGTTGATGGCTGCTGCTGGATCCGGGTAGTTTTTGCTGAGGTTTGGGGTGGCTGTGCAGTTTCTTAAAATAAGATGGTGGTGAAGTTTGCTGCATCGATTGACTCTGCCTTTCATGAACAGTTTGTTTCTTTGGCATGCAGTGTTGTTAGATGGCATTTACCCACAGAGGAACTTCTTTCAAAACTGGTGTCAGTCCTCTCAAACTCTGCCGTTGCTTTTTATCAACTAAGGTGATGTAACATTCTAAATCTAAATTGTTTCAACAATCTTCACAGCATCTTCATCAGGAGTAGATTCCATCTCAAGAAATACTTTCTTTGCTCATCCGTAAGAAGCCGCTCCTCCTCTATTAAAAGTTTTCTCATGAGAGAGCAGCACTTCAGTCCCATCCTCGGGCTCCACTTCCCACTCTAGTTCTCTCGCTGTTTCCATCACATCTGCAGTTACTTCCGCCACTGAAGTTTTGAACCTTCAATTTGTTAAAAAAAAAAAAAGGGGGGGGGGCCAATATCTACGAAGCATAGTAAAGTGAAGCACAGTAGAACAAGGTATGCCTGTACCTTAAATCTATAATTTGGATCTAAAATTAGGTTTTTCCCTTTTAAATTGTGAATTTTTCTGTGTTAATCAGTTCATTTTTGTTTAGTACTCCTAGCAGAGAAGGGACTGACAGTCTAGAAAAGT